GACTGAGCAATCTAAGGAACCTCAGACAGTGAAACCAGGATGTATTCCTGGTGCACAAAAGGACCTTGTGGACACATCCCCCATGGAGGGATACTCCCTTAACATAGAGACAGGAGAGAAGTCCTAGTCTCTAGTTCAAATGACTTGACAGATTTACATGACCCCACCTGGACAGCATAGCCCTACATGTGGAATGAGGGTGGGAGGATGGGAGGGGAGGGTGGTCAGGGTGCATGTGAGGGGGGAAAGAAGTTAAGAGGGAGTGAGGGAGAGGGAACTGGTATCAACATGTGAAAAAAAAGAGTCAAGTCACTGAAAAAGCATAATATTTTTGGAGACTGAAGAGATAGCTCAGTGGTTAAGAGCTTTGGCTGCTCTTCCAGAGGTCCTGAGTTCAATTCCCAGTAACTACATAGTGGCTCACAACCAACTATAATGAGATCTGGTGTCCTCTTCTGGCCTGTAGGCAGACATACAGGCAGAACACTTTATACATAATAAATAAATAAATCTAAAAATATATATCTAAAGAGTAACATTTTTAAATTAAAAATTATAGTAAACTAAAGTCACCTAAACTTCTTCTAAAAGTGACTCTGGAATAGAAACTTATGACAGAATTCTAGGAAATTTAAGTCTTATTTCTTTTTAGGAAAGTTAAGTCTCATTTATAATTGCCCCCAAAACTATCTAGATGCTGTTAGCCAAATTGGAAAATAAGAGCCAAATACAACAAAAACAAATACAAAAGAAGGTTTAAGGACAAACTGTTTTGATAATATGCAGGTAAACTGTAATATTTATGGAGTTCTTCTCAAATGCAAGTCAAATGCAAATTCATGAGAAGTTCACATATTCTAAGCATCTTGGCTTTCTAAAACTTGTCAGGCCATTCACTGACATGCCTCATCAAAAAACATATAAGCATTTTAAGAGAAAAAGTTAATGAACATCTGAAAAAATTGTGACAGAAAGTTCAAGAGGAAAAGGGTTCAGTAGTTTGTAATCTAGAAGTTAGACAAGTAAGTAAACAATTTAGGTATTAGTTCTCATGGGTGAATGCTAGGCTAGAGATAATGCCAAAGGGTCACCACTGCAGAGTCACCTGATAGAACTGTGGCGGATCCATGTGGCCAACCCAACATGGCATCCCAGCATGGCTGACTCTATGTAGCTGGTAAGGTAGAGAAAAAAGACTGAGCTTGGGAGGGTTTCTCAGGATTAACGAGCTCCAAGTGGTTCTCTAAGAACATCAGAGTAGTCTAGTAGAAGAGGGGCTCCATCACACTTACAAGTGTGTAGAGACCTCAGATCTGGGAGATCACAGAAAGTAGAAAAGAGGCTGAGGAAATCGTTAATATTTAGTCTCTTATGCTGCGCCATACATGGTCCTTTCTCTACAAGGCAAGCAGGGGCTGTTGTAAGATAAGGTGAAGAGCAATAGTGTGACTGGGCTTGTGGTTTGGAAAGAGAGGTAGCTGGAAGCAGGACAAGGTAGTAACGAGTTAAAATAAAAGCTCCAAGTTAAAAGAACTGAAGAATGGAGAATGGCTTCAAATGAGAAAAAGTCAGGAATGGATAGTTAGGATGGAGCAGGGGGAGGATGATCATCTGTTTGCTGCTGTTGCTGTTTTACTTCAGCTGTTGAGGAGGTGATGAATGCATTCACAGAAGCCAGCAATGGTACAGTAGAGTGGAGAAGGAGGAAAATGGAGGGACTGGACAGTTGGTGAGGTCAGTTTCAATCTGCTGGATTTGTGGACCTAGAAAGCTCTAGGTAGGAAGGTCCAGAAAAGAGCTCACTAGGCAAGAAAGAAGGGGTACCCATTGAAGATTTCCTATCACAAGGTGTGTGTGTGTGTGAGAGAGAGAGAGAAAGAGAGATAATGTATGTGTATATTATTTTATGTGCATATGCATGTGTGTACATGTGTATATTGTGCATATATGTGAGTGTACCTATAGAGTACAAAAGTTGATGTCAATAGATGTCTTTCTCTATTGCTCTTTACCATATTTTTGAGACAGTCTCTCAGACAGTATAGAGTTTACTAACTGGATAGACTGGCTAGCCAGTGTGCTCCATGTATCAGCTCATGTCTGCATCCTTAACACTGGAGTTATAAATACATGCTACACACCAGCTTTGCTACACATCAGCTTTTTATGTGTGTGCTGGGCATCTGAACTCAGGTCCTTATATTTCTGCAGGAGGCATTTTATTGATTGAACCATCTCCCATGGCTCCCAAGTTATTTAGAACAGGTTTTCATTTTAATGAATGTTCAATGAAGCACACACTAGTACATCATGTCTCATGTTTTTATCTCCACTCTGCAGATGAGGATGAATCTAAGTGGTTTCCCAATGTTTATAAAGTATTCACCAGTAATGCCTGTCCCTAAAGCTCATATCTTTAACTACCAATACTATATTGTACCATGAAAAATCCATTACAGATTTTAGAGCAAGATAAAAGTATGTTCTATTTTAATCTCTGGTCCTTAACTGCTATTTGACCTTAACACTATATGAGTGATGTCTGTGAAATGGCAGCCTTTAGATTTATATTGCAAGAATATGGTGTAGATCAAGAAGAATATGTAGAAAGTTCTCAAGGGAGCATGCATGCATCATACGTACCATTGCATCCATTCTCAAGATTTTCATCTTATGAACTGCAATTCCATCATATTTATTCTATATCTTAATAAATGCTACACTTTTCAAAAGATTTTGAGAAATTAATACATTATAAGAGATTTAAAATTATTTAATGACTTAATTCAAGTATGGGTTATTTTATTGGAAAGGGAATAGTCTTGGTTTTTTGACTTGTCCATAGTGATGGATGACACAATACAAACTGTCCCATTGTCGACAAAGTGGAGTATGGAAGAAAGCCATGAAGTTGGAATAAAAAGATCACACGGAAGTTTCAAGTTTGCAGCATACAGCCACACAACATGAGTCTTCATTATCACTTCTCAATACCCATCTGCACACTTTTGAGATGAATAGACTGGCTATGTGTGTAAAGTTTAAGCTCAGAAAATGGAGTCATGTCAGAAGCTACACAGATCACTCTAGATATTTGATTCTTACACCTGGCCACATAGTAGCATCATTGACAACTTTAAAAAATGGTTAAAAGGTATCAATGCTGAAATATCACTGAAAGGAACCCAGTGATATGATAAGCACAATTCATAGATTCTGGGCACTGTTCGGTCAAAGGTGATCTAAAACCTCCAGTAACATCTTAGCCTCATGTTAAGTATAAGTATGTTTTTCTTAGCTTCAACTGCATCAGAGCAGATATTCTGTTGTATTTATATCATCCGATACATACACACACACACACACACATACACGCACAGATACGTGTGTGTGTGTGTGTGTGTGTGTGTGTGTGAACAATTTTTTAAAAGGTCATGAATTTGATAAAGAGTAAATGGGTATACGGGAATGATTAGAAGGAGGGAAGGGAAGTACTTTTTATTTAAAAGTATTAGAAAATAAAATGGATAGTCTTTCTTTTGCATATACATTCCCTAGAGTAACTGATGAATAAGTCAACCTGCTTCTCTCAAATTCTTCCATCTTTAATACTTTTGTTTTGTCCCCTGAAAAATCAATCTCCAAAAATATGTGGACATTGGACCATATAACACACACACATACACACACAGAGAGAGAATTTTATGTGAATATTAGAACAAAGTACATGTTGCAACTTCAAGTGACAGCATCATGCACTGTTGACCTCCAGGCACATGATCACTCTCACAGAAATCTGATCCCAGCAAGAGGTACAAACATACAAAGGTGTGTGGGAGGAGACAGACATCATGAGGCCCGGAATCCACTAGCTAGAGCTCTAGTGTATGTATTTCAATTCTATAGCCAATGCTTCTGAAGGTTGTTTTAAACCCCTTCCCTGTCATTGTCAGTTTTGTCTGTGACATCAGTTTTCAGTACTCCCATGTCTACTGGCTAACTTCAAGTTTCACAGCATTGTGACTGCTCTTCAGGTGCTTCTTATGATGCTATAGGAAATGAGTAGCACTACAATTATATAATGAAATTACACTAAGGTAATCTCTATACACAAAATCTAAAACGTCAATGTGTATGTATTTTTAATCATCTTCTGAAAACAAATTAAATAAATTGAGAGTAGCAGCTTTTTACCAAAATATACATCGCCTTTAAAAAAAAATTAAACTGAAATGTGCTGCAAGTATCTATACACAAGCATCTTGTCCTCAATTGTCCCTGGGAAACCTTAGACTTTAAGGTCAAACGTGATTGTACAAGCTAAGGAGGAACATATCTGCCTGTGGAACACATTCTTGGTGATATCCATGTCTTCTTCCCTGTGTACAGAACGACTCGGGTGGCAGTCTCCAGCAGTCTATGCCCCTAGTAGCACACAATAAAGAATTAATGTCACTGAGCTCCCACCAATGAGGCAACAGGAGAAGCCAGATCAAGCATCTCCCGACAGGAAGACAAAATCTTAATGGGATTGTTACCAAGCTGCCACATTCTTGGTCCTGATGAATCTAGTAAAATAAGGAAAACCCTTGAGTACTGTGGTTTTCATCCATGAGATGAGCAATCGGCATGCTAATAATATCCTCTCGCTATTATAGTTCCAATAGCCAACAATATATAAGCCATCCAGCATGTTTGGAACAAACCATAACAAAGGAAGTGCATAAAATTGCTCAAACTGTCTAAACACACAGCATTATTTCAACACCCCAGTCTTCCAACCTCAGACTCTCCAAGTGGAGCGTCAAGGGAGACATCAAAATGTGACATCATCATTAAGCAGGAACAACACACATGGCCAAAGGTCTATTTCATGACCTTACAAGAGAATTCAAAAATCAACAGATATATTTAACTCCAAACCTTACTGCAGACAATAGACTCATGTGTAAGAATATGTTGAGAGTGGTCTTAACATCTCATGTTAAATTGAGACTTACTGATTGCTCATTTAGGTCCTGGGTGTCTTCCATGTGGCTGTCTCGCTTCTCCTGACACTCCCACGTAGAAGCCGCTTCCTTATATTCAAAATTGATGATCTAAAACAAAAAGGTGGAAATAAAAAAAGGGAAAGATGGTTTTTATTCATTTGCAGATTCATCAAGCACAAGGAGATTTAATAAGATGGTTGGCAGTATTAAGATATAGGTGAACTCTTTGATGAAAGAAATGAGTTGTTAATTTTATTTCCATGTCTTAAATAATGATCTTGTAAACATCACAGTAGAACTGTTATATGGGAAAAGCTTCTCAGGAATCTTTCAGTTAAAGCAAAACATCTCAGGACAACTTTGGAGGTAGAAGTTGCAGAAAACAATTAATATGCTATTTGCTTAGCAAAAAAAAAAATGGAAACAGTATTAATCACTACTGCATAACATAAACTGAGAAGATACAGTGCATTTTAGTATTTTTGTTTTTAGAGTGAAAAAAATGTGTTTAAATTACCATGTGATCATTTTATTTTCTTAAGAGCTGATTTGGAGGCTGATTACTAAACCCTAGGTTTGCTCTTAAGAGCCGCAAAAAGATTCTATGTTTCAAACTACAGAGTTCTTAAGAGATGAAGAAAATAATTATTTTAAGACAGATAAGTAGACTAAGTACTGAATAAACTATAGTGACACAATCAGTTGATTACTCAAAAGATAATCTTTTAATTATCTTTACTCCATACCATATGACACATTTTCCCCCAGCCAAGCAGACATAAAATTATAGATCCCAAATAGAGGAAGATTTTATAATGGTAGCATTATAAGATAACACCAAAAAGTCAAATGCTTCCCCAAATTCTCATCTTTCTTCTGTTGAAGGAGTATGCAAGACCAAGTCATGCAAAAAAATTTAAATGGTTTTATAAGAACAATTTTAACTACAGCACATTTTGAAAACTGAATTTTATAAATAGACTCTCCAAGGCCTCCATGAGTTATTCTAACATTAACTTTTGATGCCAAAGTAACCTCTGTGAGGGAAAACAAGGTTTGTCTTCCTATGAGTTATCCACAGCATTTGGCTCAGTGTTTCATATGTTGCATAGGTCAATGACAAATGCAGGCTCAGGAGGTACCCGAGGATTCTAACAAAATAATGGGAGGAAATAGATGATTTTGAAAATGTAGTCTCACATACATGGATCTTTAGGAAAGAGTCTGTTTCGCCCCAGATTCCTGTGTATCTTGCTTTATGTTAGGACAATAAAACAGAAATGTAGAAAGAAACATTACTAAGTGGAATATTTTAACTATACATAAAACTCAGTATTGAAAAATAGGTAATAATTCTCCACTCATCTGAGCTTTCATAAAATATGCTCCCAGGAAAATTATCATTGATGCCACTTAAATGCATTTATTTTCAAACAACTGTGTTGTGTCAAATTTATAAGACTGTAGTAGCAAGGAACTATGAGTTGGGTAATGAAGAGCAGCAATTTATTCTGAAACATTCTATAAACCAAATGTGCTAAACCAAGTCACTGACAGACCTATGGTCCCTCTGAGGTTATAGAAACACACACACACACACACACACACACACACACACACACACACACACACGGAGAGAGAGAGAGAGAGAGAGAGAGAGAGAGAGAGAGAGAGAGTCCCCACTCCCCAGCCTTCTGGTGGTTTCAATAATTCTTAGCATTCTGTAGCTTACAGATGCATCAATCCAGTGTCTGCCTCATTACCAAATGGCATTCTCATTCTCCTTAGCATTTTCTTCCAATGGTGTGTGTGTGTGTGTGTGTGTGTGTGTGTGTGTGTGTGTGTGTGTGTCTAAATTTTCCTTTACAAATACACCAGTCCTAGGATCTGGGCCCATCATCTGAATGCAATAAGAACACATCTTCACTTGACTAAATCTACAAAGATCTTAACTCTAAATAATCACAGATTTCAGGCTTAGGATTTAAGCATATATTTTAAACCCCCAAAATTGACATGCATAACACATGTTCAGCTACCACAATGAAATTACTTAAAAGATGTGATCACAATGCTTAAACATTATATATCCAGAAAGGCTGCTTGCAGAGTAAACTGAAGATGTTGATTATCAGGAAAGATGCAATCATCTCTCAAAGGACCACTGTATCAGGTGTACTTAATACCATGAACAAAATTAAAGCTAAGAATTTAGTACAGACACTGGTGCATAAGAGAACTAAATAAACACTTCCCATCTTTTGGTTCACCACAGATTTAGAATCCACTTAATATTCATTTGGGGAGTTATTTTTGTCAATGTTCCATGTCACAACGTAATGCCTTGCTTTATATTTCCTTGAAATTTAGATTGTTTATGTAACTTTATGTAAGTTTTAATGCTAACATAATCTTTGTTCTTTGCTAAACTCACTCAGGTCCTAAAATATTATGAGCCCAGTGATTTTATATTGTTGAACCACACTAAAGTGCCTTGGCTAATTGTAGATACAGTATGATTTTACATCATAATTTACCAACGGTAAATTATACTAAATCCTCTAACATTTAGTTTTCACAAATATATGAGAAAAAGATGAGAACACTCCTTGAATCAAGTAAGAAAAAGAATTATCTTATAATAAAGATACAAAACTAAGGGCTAACAATAACCTCATGTTGTTTTATGAAGTAACAATCTAGATGCCCACTCTAACCCAGGCCACTTCTCCAGAAAGCAGAATTTTAGACAGAAATAGCAGCAATCTCGCCCATTCTGTGGATTATTTCTGTAGTTAAACTTTCAAGATATAGACAAACATCAAATGCTTTTTGCTAGCTCTTATGTAGAAGTGAGCTATATATTCTTAGGTCTTAAAAATTGGTGTAAAAGCAAGTAATCTTTTTAATTCAAACATATCATCTGATATATGCTTATATGTTGAGAATGTTGAAACATTTTAGAAACCTTCAAGATAATGTGGGCTGGTCCAGGTAGGAGAGATGAAAGACTCTTCAGTCCCAATGAGTGAAGGAAATCTGTCTAGTCTGTCACTCTAATAAGCCTTCGATAAAAACAAGATGGTCCCGCAAGAAGAAACATCAACATGAAGAGAATGGGCTTCATTTCTGCATGAGATAACAGGGGCCAAGAACAAGAACTGCATATGGAGAACACCACGCCTTTAACCTGTGCACGCAGGTGAAGCCAGACACGTGGGCTTTGTCACTGACTTCCTGCACAGTCCTTTTCACATTCAAGGAATCATCAAGACCTCACAATACATTCTAGAGTGTACTCAAGTACTCCACTGTCTGCTCTCCTCAGTGTCATGAGGAGAGATGAAGCATAGGTCTTTTCCTGGATAGGAACATCAGCTTTGCCCCTCACTCCTGCTTTCTGAATGTCACGTTACACACAGCCAGACTACTACGTTTCACACCATCTGTCTGGTTTTAGAACTTTACTCCATCCTCTACACAAACCAGGCATCCCTTCATTGCTCTTATTTGCATCTGTACCAACATCCATCTTAAAGGAACATTCTGCCTAGAGGTCCTTCAAAGGATTACCAGGGATCTTGTGCATTTGTTTCCTGTAGACCTTGTCCTGAAACCAAAGTCTGGAGCTATAGCTAGAGTAGCTAAGAGAATGCAAACACAGATGAAACTCTACACTTCTCACTGTGGGGGTAGGGGAGAAGGATCCTCTACTTCCTTACCCATGCTACACTCCTAAGAGAACCTTGGGAAAACATTCAGGCCACAGACAACCCAAGCTTTTATTGTAGCTTTGGTCAGACACTGGAATGAAGAATTGGACGCTTAGATGATACATCCTCTCAGACACAGCCAGCTCCAATGATGTAGGTAGGTTGTTTGTACTTAGACAGTTGTCTGGGTGAAGAGAAGACACATCTAAATTACATTATGACATCAAGACAGCTCATATGAGGATTGGCATTCAGATTTTCAAACTTCAAGTGTAAGGAAGCATATTTTGAGGACACAAAATTAAAGTTTGTAACTAGGCATGGTGATACACACCTGTAACTTCAGCACTAAGGAAGCTGAGGCAAGATTATAAATTTGAGGCCAGAGAAACTTTATCTCAAATGAACAAAATAAAACAATATTAAGACCCACTTACACAGGAATATTTTATATACATATCCTGTATGTGCATTACATACATGGACCCATATTCAGCTTAAGCTACCAAGAAGTGCCCCGATGGCTTATCTTGTTACATCAGATGAGTTGTATCTGATGGTTCATCTTGCTTAGGAAATGGGCCTTGGAATATATCAAGCTAGTCCTTCTTCAGTGGCAAAATGTGGAAGATGGAAGTTTTTTTTTTTTTTTACAGCTATGTAGGGAAAACCTATCTGAAGGCAGAGAGAGAGAGAGAGAGAGAGAGAGAGAGAGAGAGAGAGAGAGAGAGAGAGAGAGAGAAGAAGAACAAGAGCAAGGCTGGAGAAAAGGTTCTGACACCTTGACCAACCAGATGTTGGCGTTGCTGGACCTGATTCTCACTCTTCCTAGGGTTCTTTTTTGTTTTCAATTATCCTCAAGATCTTCAATTAAATTGTCTACTGTTCAAGTTGCTTCATGTAAAACTACAAGTATGAAGGGAGTCTAAGGATTTGTAGTTTTCATCCCATTATTGACAATTACATCTGTGAGCAGCTATCCAGAAAAACAAATGCTTCCCAGATTCTGTACATCTAGTTATGTACCGTGCCTTCTGCCTTTCAGTAATGGGGCTGTAAAGCTGAGTGAGCCACTGGCTGGCTCCCACTGCACTGGCACCATGCCAGAGAGGGAAACCAATAGCCCAAAAGAACACCTAGCTCCAGTCCCATGGCCAAATGCTCAGAGAGGTGAAGATGGTTGTGCACATGACTCTGTTCTCTGCCTATAAAAAAAAGAAAACAGTAGGGGTGTCCAAGAAACAAGTCTAGGTGAATACTAATGAGTACCTTGTTTGACTTCATGCTCCTTAAATGGAGCCAAGGCTACAAACTACAGGCTGGGATATTTTTGAGCTGCTTACAAAGAGAGCACATAGACTTTGCAGAATCAT